GGCAGCCAATTCATGAGATGTGCATTGTAACTTGGCGTTAGCTGGTCGATTGAGTCGATCACAAGTAGAAGCGGTTTGTCTGATGTGATTTCAGGGGATTGCAGTAAATCGTGAAAATGCCTGACAAGTTGTGAAAAATCTTCCGCTATCTCTTCCTTCAAAGGTCCAAGATCGTAAACTTCGTGAATCTGTCGGATAATACTCGTGAGAGACACGACGATGTTCGACGTGTCCGGAGATGTTCCGAGGAATCGGAAAACACATACTGAAGTCTTTCCTAGCCACTCCTTTGCGTTACTAACAATCACAGCCATAATAGACGTTTTTCCAGATCCAGAAGCCCCGTATACGACCAGCGGTTTGAGAAGCGCGTCGGAAGAAAGGAAAGTTTTAACACGGTTGAGTATGGCCTGCCTTCCTCGAAACGCTGAGCACTTGTCTCGACAGAACCAAGCATGATGTAAAACTTCCTTGTAAAGAGGGTGTTGGTCCATCTACCAATTTTAATATAAGTCAATTAATAGATCCATTAATTAATGAGAAAAGACAATTGATCAAACCCCCCTTCATTCGTTAGTCAAACAATCAGTTGAATTGATTTGGTCGGTTGATAGGTTAAGAGATTGATCGCTCTAATTTTCTTTTTCTTATAACATCTCATAAAACTCTATGGCCATCACAATTACTCGCATCGCTTCTTAACGTGCCCCAAAAATGTTGCGCTCGTTTACGCAGGCATTAGCGTATCTTCTGATCACATTAAGACCCTTATCGATAAGTTTATGGACATCACTTAACGCGCAACGCTTCTTTACGTGCCCATAAAATTGCTCAAGAGCTATCGGTCTTGCGTAGTTTACACAGACCTTAGCGTATCTGGTGATCACGTTAAGACCCTTATCGACAAGTCTATGGACATTACGCATATACGCGCAACGCTTCTTAACGTCCCCATAACATTGCTCAAGATCTATCGGTGTTGCGTACGTTTATGCAGACCTTGCGTATCTTGTGACATATAAAACTTTATCTATAAGTTTATGGACATCGCGCACGCGCAATGCTTCTTTACGTGCCCATAACATTGCTCAAGAGCTATGGGTGTTGCTTACGTTTACGCAGACCTTAGCATATCTTGTGATCACATTTAAAACTTTATCTATAAGTCTATGGACATCACTTAACGTGCAACGCTTCATAACGTGTTCATAACATTCACGCATACGCGCAACGCTTCTTAACGTGTTCATAACATTGCTTAAGGGCTATCGGTTTTGCGTATGTTTACGCAGACATTTACGTACCTTGTTATCTCTCATCACATCAAGACTTCTATCGATAAGTCTCTGTATATCACTCTCAAACTTATCACAGAATTCACTCAAGTACTCCTGGTGCCTTCTATCGTTTGCATTGATCCCCCCGGTCGTCCATGTCAATCAAAATATCAAACTCCGTTTCTGCTATTTTACACGGGAATGGTCGATAGCCGTACTTGTTACCGAGAAAACACTGTTGACAAATGAAAATAAAGATAATAAATTAATTAATAGCATGATGCATTGTCCGCGATATAACGTGCGTTCCCATTGGCTTGTCTTTCCACTAGAAAACACCCAGACTTTCTAACGGGGTCGATAGCTATACACAGTCATTTGCGACACTGGTGAAAAACGCACTGCGCATGTCCGAAGCTTTCCCGCTGAAATCTGCCTAATTTCCTTTGTAAAGCGATTTTTGTGAAAGTTTTTTACAATTTATAAGCTCGTTCACCGATATATAAGATTCATATTTCCATCAATCATTGTTCATGATAGGTCCTTTTAGTATGTAGTTTCTATTTTTATCTTGTCATTTCTATTTTGAGAAAATGAGGTTTTTCGTAGTGTTTTTTGTGTTGTCGCTGTAAATCGCCAGGCGCTCTGTTTACAGATTTCAAGACGCGAGCGCCCACTGGCGGGAAAGCTGTGGGCATGCGCAGTGCGTTTTTCACCAGTGTCGTCATTTGCATATTCATAATTTGGTGAATGCAACCCCTCAATTCACGAGATATGTACTCAATGCATTTTGGCAATACAAAACAAAAGCGCACGCYTTCAACAGAATCGCTTTATCAAGAAGCCTACAGACAACATCTTAAAGGAACATGGTCCACCAGCATACAGTGCGGTCGTGTTTGAGCTATTTCATCATATGGAAAATGAGGTGACTTCGAATATCTATTAGCAACCCGTCTCTTAAAGTATCTCCATTCATAAAGTATAAAGGGATAATAAAGAGTTTTTGCTTATATTACGATGTATTTTTATTTTCAAACCTGAGCAAATAAGCTCGAAAGGGATGCTGGTGGACCATGTCCCTTTGAAAACGAACAACGTTGTAAGGGGCAACTGTAAAACAAGTGAATTTTGAGTGACTAATAACTGCCCAATTCTTGAACTATAAATCAACCTGAAGCCCCTATAAACCGACCAGCTCCCGGTACGTAAACCGACCTTTTTTACAAGCTGTCAATCAATGTCCACATCTTATAGAGCGGATTTCGTATGAGTGGGACACCGTTACCGCACGGTTACCGCACAGTTACCGCACCTGGCCTGCAGAATTTTGGTTAACCAATGGGGCACTAGAATTTGGTTACACTACGATTGCAGTCACAGTGCAGTACCGTCCGTTTCCCACTCATACGAAATCCGCTCTAATCCAAACGGAGATTGTTCGATTCGTACCACATAATTCGGTCCAGGAGTCAGCCTTTTGCAAGTTTTAATCTCTTCAATGCARAGCTCACTGGTTTTATGATCAGCGGTGGCTTCATCTCGTACTCCCCAGCGCATGTCAACTACTTGAAATTCAAGGCTATG